ACGAGCCCCCAATAAAATGATTTATTAAATTAAAAAAAAAAAGCATTATGGTCTCGGAAACCCCCAGGGGAGGTTCTACCCCGCCTTGTAGGGAAGGTCCCCGTGGACACATGGGCACCTGCGCGATGGCTGTGAGTGTGAGTGTGTGTGTGTGTGTGTGTGTGTTGCCCCGACTCCTAGTCCTTCTAGAAGCGCAGGCCTTCCAGATGATGTAGCTGATTAGCGGGAGACCCTGCCCCTCCCTGGAAGGGGGCCTATGTGTTGGGTGTCTGAGAGGCTCGCCCTGCCAGCCCCTCCCCAGCCCATTGATGTTGTCACCCTCCATGGCGTGCAGGGGTGAGCACCGACCCACCATGCCACTCCGCGCTGCAGGTGTGCGGGCTGGTGCGGCCCAAGAGGCTCAGCTAGGGTCAGGTGGACGCTGGGAGCCTGGCATGCGTTTTGTTTTGTGGCTGCCGATCAGTTTAGTTCTTTAAACTCTGCAGGAGGAGCAGCTTGTACCATGTGCTTTGTTGACAGACAGACAGCTTCTTCAATGGCTGTGCTAGGAAGAAGTTGGGAGCAGGCTGGGACGTGGGGCCTGTCCGTCTGCTTTGGGACGGGCGTTCATATGTGCTTTCCTGCTCGCTCTGTCTCTCGCTCACTCACCCTCTGACCCACATCTGAACGGCAGGAGCCCCGGTGGCACAGACACTGAAGGGCTTGGTTGCTCACCAGTCCCCCTGAGGTGCCTCAGAAGAAAGGCCTGGTGACCTGCTCCAGAAGCATCACCTCTGGAGTGGAGCTGACCTTACGGGGTGTCACAGAGAGTCCGAGCAGGGACTGGGGAGCCGACCTTACAGGGTGTCAGCGTCTCTGTGGGGAGGTCCTAGCAGGGACTTGGGGATCTCAGACTCAGGCAGGGGCGTGAGGCCTTGTGCAAGGCAGGAGGTAATGCTCGGTCAGTGCGCAGTTTGCTGGCAGGGCCTGCTCTTGTCAGAGGGCAGCTGTCTGCATGGACGCCCCGCCCCCACACAGGGGCAAGCCCACGTGCCATTGGATCAGGGAGCCAGCAAACATTTCCTGGGTCATGTGACAGTCAGCCTTGGGGGCTGGCCGCCTGGGCGCCTGCCCTCTGCCTCTGGCCAGACTGTGGGGAGCTGACAGGACACACTTACGTCTGTGCTCCCAGGGATGGGTTGCCACCCCGAGCTGCCCCCCAGGACTCTCCTCTGTAAGGGTCAAGTGTTCTAAAGGGGCCCTGCATCATCGTCCTCCTCTTCTCTGGACCCCGGGGCCCATAGTCTCCCGGCTCTGTGGAGGGCATGGCTGGGGGCTCTGCAAGGGCATGAGTGGGTACTGCGGGGAGCTTCGCACCCTGACAGCATGAGTGGTGCTGCAGTGAACTGGGTGTCCCATGGAACCAGGAGTGGGTGCTGTGGGGAGCTTGGGGTGCCCTGATGGCGTGAGTGGTGCTGTGGCAAATTAGGTGTCCCATGGAACCAGGAGTGGGTCCTGTGGGGAGCTTGGGGCGCCCTGACGGTGTGAGTGGGTGCTGCATGAACTGGGAGTCCCATGGGACCAGGAGTGGGTGCTGCGGGGGACTCGGGACGCCCTGACGGCCGGCCCTGTTTGTCCCCACAGAGCGCGTGCACGGGCACCTGGAGCAGCACGACGTGAAGTACCTGCAGTTCGCTTTCCGCTGGATGAACAATCTGCTGATGCGCGAGCTGCCCCTGCCCTGCACCGTGCGCCTCTGGGACACCTACCAGGTGAG